TAAATTGTGTATTTTTACATTTATGTTTAAGTTTTTAAGATATGCACAAAAAATTATGCTTTTATTGTGAAAACACCAATTCTTACCAAATAATTTTGGTCTAATTTTTTAATTAAAATATCTTAGAGAATTTAAAATTAGACAAAACTAAATTTCAGCAAGAAATAGGAGCTTATTTTAAATAAATAAGTCTTAAATATTGATTACAAAGTTCTATTTGCCCTGGTATAATGTTCCACTGCCCCGTTACCTAGCAACCCCAGCCGAGCCCAGGCTGTTACCTAGCAACCAAGTTCTAGTTCCACTGGCAGATTATTTCACTTACATCAAATGAAATAACCTGCCAATGGAACTAGTATTTTTTCATCAATATTAAGTAATTCTCGACTTAAAACGTTCACATTTTCTGTGACGTACATGAAAACAAGCTACTATAATTTAATGCAAAGTTACTTTTAAGTTACTGTTGTCTTACTTCAAGTGCACTAAGACATTTGCACTAAAAGCTGTACTTGGTAGTATTTGGTGTTTTTGTGACTGTACAACAATAAGCTGTTTTCCATTTGTGGAGGTGATGCAGCGTGAATAGGTTTGTGCGGCTGAGTGCGGCCATGACTCACCGTCCATGTCGAGTCTCTGCATGATGATGGCCAGCTCCACCTCACTGGGCATGTACCCCAGAGACCTCATGGCCATTCCCAGCTCCTGCTTGGAAATGAACCCGTTTCCATCACGATCCAGCACCTTAAACGCTTCCCGGATCTCTGCCAAACAAACAACAAATCCACTCACAGTCAGTAAGCAGCCCTCATCCTTCCTGCTCCAAGGCTGCAGGGAAAAAAGGTGGTTTATTTATTTATTTATTTATGGATTTCATATTTTGTCCTCTGCGTTTTGGGATTTCTCTTCTGCTCGTCTGCTCTCCTCTCGCCCTTTGCTCCCTCTCCTTCCTGCCTGACCCAGCTTCCTTGGCGCTCTTATGCAATTGGCCTTGCACCACTGCCTCAAGTTAACAAGATCAATTCCAGCCATTGATTTATTTTCTACACCTGCTTCCACAGCCGCCGTCTCCTCTGGTCAGGCTTTCACAGTTGGCCCTCGCTGAGCTGCTTTTTCTGTTCCACCCATTGAGTCACATTTACAGACTCAATGGGTCTGTAAATGAACATTTTCTTACCTTCCAGGTAGCTAATCATCCAACGCTACAATGAACAGATAAGAGTTTTTTTTCTCTGGGCATTTCAGGAAACCGGGCTGCACAGTGGCGCAGTTGGTAGAGCTGTTGCCGTGCAGCAAGAAGGTTCTGGGTTCGATTCCCGGCCCCGGTCTTTCTGCATGGAGTTTGCATGTTCTCCCTGTGCATGCGTGGGTTTTCTCCGGGTACTCCGGTTTCCTCCCACAGTCCAAAAAAAACATGACTGTTAGGTTAATTGGTCTGTCTAAATTGCCCCTAGGTGTGTGTCTGTGTTGCCCTGCGACAGACTGGCGACCTGTCCAGGATGTACCCCACCTCTCACCTGGAACGTTAGCTGGAGATAGGCACCAGCACCCCTCCCAACCCCACTGAGGGACAAGGGTGTTCAGAAAATGGATGGATGGATTTCAGGAAACCAGGATTTTCTTTCTCTAAAAGCATTTAAAGAGTAAAATATACATGAATATTAAAAAATTTAACTAATCGTGTTGATAATGTTGGAGTTATTTTCTCACCTGCACAGTATCAAACTGTGAAAATAATTGTATCTTTCATGAGACACAAAAAAATGTAACCTCAGATAAATTAAACACATTTTATGAACCTCAAATGTTTTCAAATTACAAATTTTTTTATTGATTCCACAGGTAAATTAAATAAATATTTCAGCTTTCCCTGTGTTAATCAGCCGCTCCCTGCTGATTAACACCCTGTTGCCATGGTTACACATTACAACAACTGATTAAAGCTTAAAAGGTCCAATCAGAAAACAACCCAGAACCAGAGTAAACAGCTGCCCCACCAAAAAAGAAGAAATTTTTACTCCAGAAATGGTGGAAGGAAAGATTCAGAAAAGAAAATCTGGATGAAATATGGATCTGAATATGAATCTGCCATGTGGGCCAATAAACTCTCGTCGTACCGGCCCTTGAAGGCATATAGTCCCATTTTATAACTCAATCAAGTTGTTGCCTTCAGTTGTTATAAAAGTGTTACTTATGTCTATCAAACATGGCTTAAAAAAATTTGTCTTCCAAATTTGACGCCTTGAAATTGGGCCTCTGTCTCTTTAAGAAGCTCCTGCTCTTTTCAGCACTTCGCCTACAGCTCGTTATGACAACAACGCTTCTCATTCTGCCATTTACAACCATTAAAAGAATAACAAGAAGAAGCTCAGCAAAAATGCAGTTCCACCAGTTGTTTGCTAATTATTGCTGCCACTAGTCTAGAGGAGCTGAGTGAGACCAAGCGCTTAGGCACCCTGAATGGTTGCCATGGAGATTAAAGGATTTCTCGAACACGCGTGGAAAAAACCTAATTAACACTCTGGGTATATTTTTGATGTAGGAATAATATTATAACATGAAATAAAGCTAAAAACTTTACATAACAACCCAAGTTCAACAAATTGATATTACTAATATATAATCATCTTTTTGTCTAAAAAAAAGTAGATTCTTCTACAAAAATGTCAAAATAAAGCAAAAAAATATCCAAAAACAAATGTGAGGAAGATAAATAACTAAACTAAGCTTTAAAATGTTTCCATAAAATTGCAGCACCAGCTCAGTTACGGCTTGGCGATCAGCAGCCTGGATGGCGGCTGATCACAGAGCGGCTGGCTGGAACCGAAGCCGAGTCGGATGGGCCTGGCAGGTGGAACCAGGTCTGCAGCATTCCCTCAGGTTACCACATCCTGCTAATCCCTTTCACTTTGGAAAGGTAGTCCAGATTACACCAACAATCCAGCGCGGCAGTTCAGATCAGCCATTCAACAAACTGGAGCCATTCAAGCGCTTAAAATTTAATTACTCCCAGTTAACAGCAAGGAAATTACTCCTACATAAACAGAAATACGATTTACTCAGCATACAGCAACACTTTTGGTTTAAATATAAATTATTACAATTTATTCCATTAGTTTTCCTCTGTCGTCACATTTTGCTTCCCAGCATGTTTTTAACTTACTAACAAAGCTGAAAACATAATGCAAAGTTTCTGTGATGCAAAACTGGTAAATAAAAGATTAAAAGCTTTTTAATAAACAGGAACGAAAGAAGAATTTACTGGTCAAACTGTGTTGATGCTCAGATTAGCTTGAAATGATGGGAAAGCAGCTAATCAGCTAATCCAGCAAGGCGCTAACAGCTCAGCTAATTTTGTTTTAGTTTTTTTAGCCTAACTTTGAACATTTCCTGCTTAGACTTTACATGTTTTTTTTTTATATAACGGGTTACTTTCACATTTTTCACGTGTCGAGTTCATTTCCAGGTTTCTCAGGATAACGAGTTCATTTCGTGATTGCTTTCTCGAGATAAGTTAATTTCTCGTTTTGCACATATATTTTTTCCAGATGTATTTTAGCAACAGAGTTCATTTCGCATTTCCTTGAGATGACAAGTTAATTTCCTGATTGTTTTCTTGAGATAATGAGTAAATTTTGAGTTTTCCACATATTTCTTTTCCTGATTGTTTTCTTGAGATAACTTAATTTCACAGTTTCTTGAGTTAATTTCTCGTTTTCTGCATATAAACATCTTTTTCATAAGATAACGAGTTAACTTCACATTTTCTCAGGATAACGAGTCCATTCCCCGTTTTCCCGCATGTACGTTTTCTAGACGGTTTTCTTGAGTCAGTCTTGAGAAAACAAACGTTGCCGTGCATTTAAAGGCACTGAACTGTGTTGAAGTGTTTAGATCCTTTTCCTGAGCCGACTCTCGGAAACATCTCACTGGTACACAGTTGAACCAGCTGCTTCACTCGCTGCTCACCGAGTAATAATGCAATCAGTAGAGGAGTCAGCGGACTTCACTGCGCTTTAATAAATGCATATTTCACAAGTGAGCCTGCAGATCAGAGAGGGAGGCTGGTAAGAAAAGGCTGACAGGCATCTGGTGTTTTTTAAATGGGGTGGAATGTCACGTCTCTGCAGAACACTGTGACTGTGTGCCATGCATGAACACGCTGCTGAACACTGAATAATATCAGACTGCAGACTGGAATAGATGATTACCTCCGTCTTTCTGCAAACCTCACAGGCAGCAGAAACGTTCAAGGCTTTTCTCATCGACTCCACAAGTTTAGATAAAAACCCCAACAGAGATCAAAACATGTTTAAAAACAGGAGTTATGGCTGAAATGGCTGCTCACAAATCAATGAAGCTCGAAATGAGAACGTAAAATTTGACTTCAAGGGGGAAATGTTATGCAAAATTCACATTGTTTGTGTTTCCATTTGTTTTCCTGCTGCTTCTAAAAACAGCACAAGGTTTTTGTCAATAATGTTTTTTCCATAAAGTTATTCTTAAACCGCTGAATGTTGAACTTTTGAATTGACTTTGTAAGTTATTGACGTTGAATCTGAACAATCTATCTCAATCTGGAGACATAAAATCACTTTAATTTAAACACAGAATATCTGACAGAAACAGGAATGTTTTTAAAACTAACTTCAGCTGCTTCTGAAGCCGAAGAGTCAAATACTCCGTCTTGAAAACGAATCTATGTTTTTCTGGTTTTGATTAAATGGTGTTTGGTTCCTACGTTTCCTCTGAAACACATTTTACACATTTCATTCTGTCACCGAGAAAATATTGAAAGTCTCCTTTCATCCGTCATCCTGAATGATGCTGGGAAACTTGGCCATGCCTTCATCTCTGACAGGCTGCTGCAACTCTGTCGAGATTTCAGTGAAAATGCCCAAAGAATGCATTTAATAACGAAGAATGACAATTATGTCAACCATTTTACTGTCCCTCCATTGGCTCTCTGGTAATATGACATCAGGGTCACTGTACATCGAAACAAAAAGAGCAAATTTCCTAAAAAAAACTCTAAAATATTCAGTTTTAGCTCAGAAATTTTCTAGAAAAAAAAAGTGGAATTTTGAGTTCAAAAAGTCAAAATTTGTGGAAAAAAAACTCAAAAATTTTTAGATTAACATCAGAAATTTTTAGATTCATCTCTTTCTTTTCTAGAAACACTTGGAAGTTTATTAATGAAAAAAATCGTGGAAATTTATCAGTTTGAAAAGTCAAATATTTGTGTTGAAAAAACCTCAGAATTTTTTTTGATTAATACCAGAAATTTTCTACAAAAAACTTGGAAGTTAATAAGTCTGTAAAATCGAAAAGTTTCTAGAATTTATTTTTGTTAAATTAATCTCAGAAATTTTCTAGAAAGATTTGGAAATTTATGACTTTTAAAAGTCAAAAATTTGCTACAAAAGAAAATCTCAAAAATGTTATGATTAATATCAGAAATATTCTGGGAAAACTCTTTAAAGTTGATGAGTTTGTAAAGTTAAACATTTGCAAGAAAAAACTCAAACTTTAAGATTAATCTTATAAATTTTCAACAAAAAACACTGAAATTTATCAGCTTGAAAAGTCAAAATGTTCCATAAAAACCTCAGAAATGTTCAGATTAATATCAGAAGTTTTCTAGAAAAAAACTTGAAATAAAAAGTAAAAAATGTTCAACCTTTGAACTTTTAAAGAAAACATGACAGCATTAAACAGATAATCTGTGTTTCTGTTAAGTAATCTCAGATAATCTCATAATTTG